AAAAAAGCGGAGGTTAATGATCCTACGGTCAGCTAGACGTCATCCGCCCCGTGAAGAAATCTTTATGCAGAGAGTACGTACTGTTGTGCATTGACTTTTTTCAATTCTGGGAACTAATGGAGGGTGTTGTTGAGTATGTCGGATAGGTTCCAAGATGTTTGATCCATTCGGCCAATGTTGTCAGGGCCATCCACACGCTCAAATCGGTTTGATTGTCGCTACTCACTATAAAGAAGTACATAACACCTACTCATCAAAATAAGCCAGCAAAAGAATACAAAGGATCTATGTCGGGTTCCCCGGCCACTGCGGGCCGGCAGGCGAGCTTACCAATAATCGATTTCAAAGCTCAGTAAAAAAAAGTAGTAGTTTGGATAAAAAATATTGTTGTTGCGAATCCTTGCTCCCAGAGGTGGTAAATTGTATAACAGTTAGGCGACGCACATAATACATTTCCTACTAGGTGCTGGTGGTGGCTTTGTTCGAACTGCGAATAGTCCCAGGCCGCCAATGTTATTATACTCTCGTTGCCATGTTTCGTACAGGGCTGATCAATACATGTAATACGGAATCTTGACCAATTTTTTACAATAATAATATTAGCCAGACTGAGATTTATGCTTACATTATGTATTAATATGGTATAATTATTTTTACTAATACCTCATTTTTTAACTTCGAAAATACAATCCGCGAACAGTTCGCGGTCGTACGCGTCGTCATTATCCGCAGTGCACACCTGAGACTTGTTTGACTGATTTTCAATACTATCAGCGCCCTTCCGATAAGCCTCACTGTAAGTCACTCGCCATGACCGCAGTCGTATCTGTCCTGAGCGACCGTGCAGGCCCCACGTTAATGTTGAGGAGCTAATCTCGCGCGTATTAATATACCTACGTGAACTGGTTGCGATATCCTGCATTCATTCAGTGATTTTGTCAGTACCGCGTCAGCTCACCACTCTTTTACTGCAAAATGTCAAACCACCAGGACTTTTCCTTCACCCGCTCCACGTATTGCTTTTTTGTTGTGTCACATCGACTCTCATTCCTGTTCACGCACTGATAATCTGACGCCAGCGCTTCAGTGCTGGTTGGAGAGCCGACAGTTGGCTGAACATCGTGGAGATCTCTTTGCGGATCACGTGAATACTGGAAAGAGACCGGCTAATGACACTCGACGCTAGATGTCAACGAAATCAGAAGTATACGCTACAACGAAATTGGCAGCAAGATTAACTGCACTCGGCCCCTGCTTGATCCACATAAAATTTTACTCTAGGTTGCGGTGGTACCAACATGTTGGGCTGCCGATGCGGTATCATCAGTTTAGTAGGCACGCTTGATAGATCTAATTCTTCTGTCAATACATTAGTAAAAAAAATCAATGCTTTCGCCCAGCCGATTTGTGGCAAGAAAATGTGTGTGTGTGTGTGTGTTTCATTTACGAGTGGTTTGAAAATCATTATGTAGCACTACCACAAAAGCTGAGCGCTAGAACACTAGAGGATGTCTTGGAACAAAACGCTTTATTGTGAAAATGAGTCGTATAACTTTATTATTCTAGGGTCTTTTTAGTCTCAGTATCATTATGTTTACCACACATTTGGCTCAACGTCATCATGTTTATGATGCACTTAGCTCTGCATAATCACGTATTCCAAGTATACATCGAATACAATTCTAAATGTAGCTGTAATGCTGTAGAGCCAGCACTCGAGTTCCCCGGCAGACTTCTACAAGGGGTAGTCACTTCGCGTTTTTCCTTTCAAGACCACAAGACCTCCCGTCCATCGGAATCAATATCTGCAGTCATGCGCAGCATATTTTAAGTTGCTCTTGCCTTTGTCGTTTTGGCTCGCAACAGCGTCGACGCCGTGTCCCTTATTGCAGATGACGCTCGGCTCTTGTTGAAAGCAATTCGTGACTCGTCCGCCAATGCCAAGAGATCCCTTCGGGTCGCAAGCCAAGAAGTTGGTCACGGCCTCCGAAGAGACGGCAACGGTGGGGTCTGGAAATCGTTGGTCTAGCATAGCAAAATCGATCTAAACAGGCCGGAGATTAACCTGAAATCATTCCTTGAAGCAGCCAAGGCGGCCAAGGTAGCCAAAGCCATGAAGATCAATGAAACTAGTAAGAATATAAAAAAGGGGGTCAAGTCCTTAACCTTGAAAAGAAGTCCGACGAAGTAATCTCGTAGCAGAAAGTTGCAACTACCCTCTACTAGCTGCGAAAAAATGGGTGTAAGTGTCCATTTTAGTAAAACCAGCACTTGGGATATAATTTTTTTGGGATAACGACTTAGTAAAGGAATACATGGTCGCACTTTTGCACAAAAAAGATCTAGATTTTTGTATGCGAGACATGGTTTGAAGCATGCTCGGAGTTACGATGGATGGATATAAGGTTGTGCTCTTTTTCGATGCATTACCTACGTAACAGTCATCCTCGAATCACCAAAGTTGATTTTGCAGAGAGAAAGGATACTAATGTCTATATTAGTACATTGTCAGAATTGTGTGAAGGTCTTGAAATTTTCTGGATTTATATCTAGAGTTTTAAAAGGCAAACCATTTTCTTCTGACCCAAAACTATTTAAACATCTTATACTCAGAGCCCAAACTAAAGTTGTCAACTCAAAATTAAATAAAGTTACTTTAGCAATTGATACATAACGTTCTATACTGTGTTTGTGCAGTGCCTCTGTTGACGCGGTCGATTATGTTGATGCAGTCGATTATGTTGATGCGGTCGATTATGACATGGCTTTGTTGACGCAGTTTGATCATTAAATGGTGCTATC